TACTACTCCTAGATACTACTTTATAAAAAAATTGCCCAGGATAGAAAAGTTATGATTTTCAGAATCCGATTCATCCACTAAGTAATATTTTCGGCCATATAGTGTCTGGCCTGATTTTCAATTTTCATTCTGGAAATTTGGGACACTTAGATCAATGATTTTTTTATTTATTATAAGGAAGCTTTCAAAATACTGGAATTTCATAGGACAGCGAAGTTATGATTTTTAAAATCCGATAGACTCTCTGATTGATATTTTCTGCCATACAGTCTCTGACCTGATTTTCAATTTTTCTTCTGGAAACTTGAGACACTTACGGAGCCAATCATTTTTCTATAAAGAAGCATTCAGCTTCAACATACCAGAATTTTATGAAAAATTTCCACTATATATCGTGATTGTCGTAGCCCGTGCATTAGAAGTCAATTGGATTGCGGGTGAATTAATAGAGCTGGCATCTAATCCACCTGCAAGCGAATGAATGCACAGGCTACATAAATCACCCTGTATATAATTGCCTCAGTACTCCATATACATACTATACGTAATTAACTAGGAAGGTCCCGTAATATTAGAAAACTTGAGCGAACCCGCAGCAATACAGTATATCCGCCTCATCGTTATGTTACATGACAACGAATCTGATAATAACATTATGTTTTCTAATTTGTTTTGCATGAAAAAAGAGGTCATAGTATTTATAGACAAATATTTACAAGCATGAGCCGCGATTTCAATGGAGCTTTAACAAAAATATGGACAATGCAAACTAGAAATAAACCTGTAAACAAGTTTCTCCAGGCCAAAGAAAATCATTGAATGAATGAATTGATATTTCAGAAGCTCATATGAAAACATCAAAAATGTACAAACTCGATTTCACTAGTTTCAGGAAATCCTGACAGAAATAAGTAGCAGAAAGAGTAAGACACATATTTTCAACTATGAGTTCACTATTTTCTCCTGTCCTATCCAATATCCAATATGAATTGGTTTGAAATGTAAGCACCCATCTTGGGTCAAAACTATGGTTGTGTTTCACGATCCAGATCGATTCATCGATTCCTAAATAAGCCTGCATTTACCGGCTCAATATTGTCACGCAGTTCGCTGGTCTTGACTTGACAAAATTCCTTAATCACTTATCCCTTTACTTAACTTTATTCTCCTATTTAAACTGATTCACACACTACGCGCTTTACATACATAAACATTCAGTTCGTGAATTCTCTATAGAATCACCAAAAGATTGTTTATCACAATCACGCCATGTTATCGGAGCGCCAACCATTAGACATTGCAGTTTGACGCCTGTACATCGCCCACGATGTTTGTCCATACTATGATGATGGATTAACTTTTCCTGATTTCCTGATCAAGCCACATTCCAACTTTTTCAATTTTCTTCTCAAAACTATCCATTTATTGGCCAAAACCTCCGGCTTTCTAAAGAAAAATTTAAACTTCCTGATGGACATATGTCTAACTTCGTGATGAACACTTATCCAACTTCTTGGCAAACGTTCCATTATTGCATTCTTGAATTTATTATCTTGATCAGGATTTTCTTGAGACTGGTTTGTCCCTTAGAGAAAACGGTTTAAATCCATTCTGGCTTATTCTTCTTGTTTTCAGGCATCTTCTTGATGCTTTTCTTTTTGTATTTGGGCTTCCTTTTCTTGCCTTTTGTCTTGGGGACTCCTCTTATCTTGTCTCCCGTCTTCGATATGTTTTCACCAACATTTATCAACTTGTGCCATTTTGGCTATTTGCTGTCATTTGCTTGAATATTCCAATGACGTTTGGGGTATCTCGGTACCTGCGATACCAAAGGTTTCCTAAACAGTTTCATTTTGATTTCGAAAGTGAAAAGTTGAGTAATAATTATAATTGTGATTTTCTTTTGTGTGAACATTTGCATTGGATTTAAACGGTAAGTTTTATCACAGAGTTTACCTTACTTGCATTATTACATTCAATAACATTTATTACTCTTTTCAATTGGTTCAAGTACCCATGAAGGGAAAACATTATTATTTGTTGGCGGATTTAAAGTTTAGTATCTACACTAGTGTTTATGCGGTAGTTAACTACTATCGCATTCACCCACCTGGCGATTACGGTACGACCCGGAGGGTCGTTCTAGTAGAATGGATTTTGCATTACTAGATTTTATTTCAATTGATTCCATTTCATTTATTTATTTATTTATTTATTATGAATTTATTTATCAGAGAGCAAGGTGGCTCAAGCCTACTTTTATTTTATTTCAGAAGCGTTCAATGTTCAGTCTTGAACAAAGTGGATGCTGAGCTCAATTGAAATTGAATTCGTCATAGGTAGTAGGTACCTACCTTTAAGTATTTTTTTCTTTAATTTATATGTTGATATAGATAAGGCGGCCAATCAGGCTACCTCAGTTGTTGTTGTTGTCAAATTTCACCATTAATATCAATGTAAATAACTAAAAATACAAACTTTTTTTGACGTTCGCTCTCAAAATTTGATGTTTCACTTTTAACACTAGTGCTATGAAGACTTTATGGCACTAGTGCGATAAAGTAACATTTTTAATGCTACGGGGGGGGGGGGGGGGTGGTAAAAATTGCATTTTTGACACGTTTGTAAAAAATAGTTATTTATGATGTAAGTGTTAAAAGTACATTTTTAAGTGGAAGTCTGTCGTGGTCAGTAGTGCTTTTTGCTAAAAATGCAAGAAAAAACAGAAGAACAAGAGGGTTGCATCGATCCCTTGAAAAATATAGATAAGGCGACCAATCGGACTACCTCAGTTGTTTAAATTTTACCATTAATATTAATGTAAACAACTAAATATACAAACCTTTTTTGACGTTCGCTCTCAAAGTTTGATGTTTTATTTTTAACACTAGTGCTATAAAGACTTTATAGCACTAGTGCGATAAAGTAACATTTTTAAAGCCATGGGGGGGGGTGTTAAAAATTGCATTTTTAACACGTTTGTAGAATTTTTTTTTTTAAATTATTGAGGTGTCCGAGTTTTAATTGGACAGAGTGGCTTAAAATGCCGAGAGTTAAAAAATCTTTAAATCAGAGGCGATAAACGTCTACTTACCTTTATTTATGCGTTCAATAATGTCATTTTTAAACGTCAAAATGGGATAAAAATAGAAAATCAATGTTTAAATTGAAAATTAAACTCAAAGAAAAATAATCGTCTACACTTGTCCAATTTTCAAATAGAACACGATGGAATGTTCTAGGAAAATCACTCTGTCGACATGTTTTTAATTGCTTTGAGAAAAAATTAAGGTTTTCCAACACTCAGTTTCCGAATATAAGACCTTACTCCTCTTGATAGGTATATTTAATTCAATTTATACATGAAAAATTCTACTGTCATTCGTTTCAATGCATTTAATTCATAGTTTGACAAATATTTGACAATAAAATTCATGTAATAGGACAAGAGCTAATGCGATGCTGTCCCAGTTACTTTTGGTGACGATGGTACCTATTCACAACAAAATAAAAATCTTACCAAATATACAGCAGTTTATTTTTGTACAAGCCATCCATCCATAAATATTTGGTATGTGTTTTGTTATGTGATCGAAGTAACAGATGTCAAATGGACCATCATCGACGTAAAAGAAATTAAAAATTTGAATAAAATCATATAATCTGAGGACATATGGTATGAAGATCTAGAGAAATTGTTGAATAATGTAATAAGATTCAACATCAAAAGACTCGTTTCAGGTTATAGTTGTTGAGAAATAAATTGATGAGATTTGACAATATTTTGAAGATCAATAGTTTTTAGTTCATAATGGACTGGATGGTAATTTCTCAATTGTAAACGAAAAAGAATATAAAGGAAAACGAAACAAAATGTCAAGACCATAATAATTCACCAAATTAAGAACAATAATAATTACCGGTACCAAAGTTACTACTATACTAGACACCGTCCGTACGAGCAGTAGTTGTGAAGTACCCCTTGAAAACAATATACATCGTTTCCTAATCAAATTAGTACATCCTGCTTAAGAGAGAATTTGCAGTGATACGTACGATAGCACAGCATTATCGGATAAATAAACATGCCTCTCATCAAATTATTAACTTTGTAATGATATACTTAAATGACAGTGTCGGTCTGAGGTCAAATTGGAATTTTCTTTTTAAGCTTCTATACGTTTAAAAAAAATACTATTTTTCATTACTGAACACATTTTTGAAATCCCAACCCCTTAGTAGAGCAGGGTACACTAGAATCTCACATTACCATCACTTCGAAAAAAGGGGCCAAGGAGAAGGGAAAGAGTGAGCGCCGCGCCGAGCGGATCTTGAGTCCTTGTCGAGGTCCTTGTAGTTAGATTAAGCTAAGGTATTCGTAGTATTTTATTCAAATAATAAGACAGATAAATTAAGCGTGCATTAATAATTTTTCTCTAACATGAAAACGTCAGCTAATATCATAAAGTCCTTTTTTTTTTTAATATAATTCCCCAAGTCAAAAATTTAGTAACTATGTTGGCAACACAAGCCTTTTCTACATAAAAATTTGAAAGCATTGACAATTTTACATTGTATTGCCAACATAATGTCATTTTGAATTTTATCTTTAAAAAAAAAACAGACTTTAAATCCACGTGAACCATACAGATATCTATTATGTCAGAAATGCTCTTTTTTCTACTCGAACGAACTTCACTATTCCAAACTTAGTACGGTTCAAAACCAATCACCGTATGGTATAATCATTTTTTAGTGGTATTTAATTTATAAGTATACCCTATAGATCATTAAATTTGATGGATTTCATATTTCATCTATTAATTATGAAATCAAAGCATCACCGATCAATATTATTCCTAATTGGCAGAGAAAGTTAACAATATAGAGAATCAAAAATTTAAATGATTGCGAAGTAATCGAATTATGTTGTAAAAAGTGCAATGATAAATTGGTCATCTTTAGCAAATAATTTTTGGCATTTCAAGGTTCCTACTTACGGCTATCTTTGTTTCGTTAACTAAAGACGTTGCATACACTGAACACCTCGGCGGGACACTCATGCACCATTTGTAAGTTCTTGTCGTCCGATTTTTCAGTTCCCATTGAAGAACTTCTTGTGGTACCCTGAAATAAATTTAATTTTACTTCAACAACAATAAAGATTGCTTTCTAATTAGATTTGCCAGACTTCAAATTGAATCTCACATTGTCAATAATGTTACAAGATAAAACAGCACCGATGGAATGTAATAATTAGGAAAATTTACCCAATCTATAGCAATTTTCTTGTCCATGCTACCATGAAATAGGCAATTAAAATGTGAGCAGCGTTGCTGTAAACTGTATCAGTTTCGACACATATGGCTCGCGGATTTCTTTAGTAGTTCATTAGAGGTATGAGATTGAGAGAACATTCCTATCATTTAAAATCTAAATTTTCAGGTATGTTCGAACAAAAAAATTCAATTAGTTTTCTAAATAAATTTATTAGTATCTAAGGATTTAATTGGCCACCTGACTTTTACAAGGATTGAATTATTGATGATGAAGTCTTGGTGATAAGAAATATCTACCTAACACTATGATTGCATGCTTAAAATAATGCGAATTTAATTGAATAATACTGTACCTATTTGCCGTAGGTGTACGACCTGAGTAATAATGTAGTTACGACTGTAGAAACTCGAAGAAATTTAATGGTCTGGTAGTAGATCTAGTGGTGGAAGCCGCACGAGTGTTATATTTTATTTGTGATTGGATCAAAATTTCATATAAACTGCTGGACAATTGTTTTCGAGCAAGGAAAACTTTCAAGCTCAATATTTTTGGAACCAGACCAAATATCGACCTCCGGTTTTCACGGGGTGACAGATTGACTTATTGTGAAAAAAAATTCCCACATGGAAACCGGAAGTCGATATTTTGTTTCCAAAAATATCGAGCTTGAAAGTAGGCGAAATTTTCCTTGTTCAGCAGTTCAGATTTGAATTTGATGGCTCGACATACTTTTGTTATAAACAACTTAAAACAAGCTTTGTTCCAATAATACATCAAGAAACCATACAGGTTGATCTATTAAAAATGTCATCCCCTGCTAACTTTTTCATTTGACATTTTTGGTAGAAGTGTCAAATACAAAAGTTTTAAGAAATTGTCAAAAGTTTTTAACTAATGGCGTTTCCGATTGGTAGATTCAGTGTGCACTGAGTGTATTTGCATCCTTTAAATCGACCTATAGAAGAAAAAGACAGAAATAGAAAACATTGCACTAGTTCCGCACTAGATCTACCAATCGGAAACGCCATAAGTCAATTTTAGCCATACAGGGTGCGTCAAAAAAGTGCAACAGTGTAAAGTTATATTTGTTTAAATGGAATACCCTGTATATCGTGCGCTTATTTGTTAAAAGTCTCCTTTAACCTGATTTCAACGATATCCGGTTTGATATGTTTATCTCTCGGTATATCTCTAATAGTTAGGGAAAAACCCGAAAATCCCTTCCTAGGTCTCTCATATTATTTTTTTTTTAAATAATAATAATAATAATTTAGACATCTGGATTTATTATAATCTTTCACCTTGTACATTAATGGATAAAATTTCAACAATAAAATGTTTATAAAAAAATTCTCTAAAGCTTAAATGGTATAATTATTCTTTTTTCAATATGAAACCTTGAAAGGGGTTTTAATGTTTTTCCCTATAACTATTGAAGATAGATATATCAAACCCTATATCGTTGAAATCAGGTTAAGATGGACTAACAAATAAGCGCATAATATACAGGGTTAAATAAATATAACTTCACAGTGCTGCACTTTTTTGACGCACCCTATATGCCTAGAACTGATTTAAGCTTACTTTTCATGCATCCGTTTATCCGTCAATCTGATGATCCGGAAGTATTTATATTGGTCTAATATTTTGGCGTCAATCCAGATCATCGGATTGACGGATAAACGGAGGCATGAAAAGTAACCCTTAGGCTATGGTCCGAATATAACCAAACGTTAACCAAAGTAACTGAATCGGTTGACAGATGGTTACTGAAAATTCCGGTTACTTGGGGAACGCGAATATAAAATAAAAAATAGGTGACAGAATTTACAGATAAAACCAACAGAACCGACATTTGAAAGCCGGTAAATATTTTGACATTTGCTTAACCAGATTTCGGGAGACCAAGGTCCAAAAGTAACCACCTTTCCAGGAACCGCAGATTAATTTGATTATTTTCGGACCGTGAGACCATAACCCTGGTTATATTCGGACCATAGCCTTAGTTAAAAACTTTTGACAATTTCTCAAAACTAATGTATTTCACACTTTTGTCAAAAATGTCAAATGAAAAAGTAAGAAGGGGTGACATTTATAATAGATCACCCTGTACATGTGACGTAACGACAGTCTGCACAAAGCCAAAAATGTTGAGCGTAGAACCCGAAATTCGTATACAAAAACCTTGTACATTAATGGATAAAATTTCAACAATAAAATGTTTATAAAAAAATTCTCTAAAGCTTAAATGGTATAATTATTCTTTTTTCAATATGAAACCTTGAAAGGGGTTTTAATGTTTTTCCCTATAACTATTGAAGATAGATATATCAAACCCTATATCGTTGAAATCAGGTTAAGATGGACTAACAAATAAGCGCATAATATACAGGGTTAAATAAATATAACTTCACAGTGCTGCACTTTTTTGACGCACCCTATATGCCTAGAACTGATTTAAGCTTACTTTTCATGCATCCGTTTATCCGTCAATCTGATGATCCGGAAGTATTTATATTGGTCTAATATTTTGGCGTCAATCCAGATCATCGGATTGACGGATAAACGGAGGCATGAAAAGTAACCCTTAGGCTATGGTCCGAATATAACCAAACGTTAACCAAAGTAACTGAATCGGTTGACAGATGGTTACTGAAAATTCCGGTTACTTGGGGAACGCGAATATAAAATAAAAAATAGGTGACAGAATTTACAGATAAAACCAACAGAACCGACATTTGAAAGCCGGTAAATATTTTGACATTTGCTTAACCAGATTTCGGGAGACCAAGGTCCAAAAGTAACCACCTTTCCAGGAACCGCAGATTAATTTGATTATTTTCGGACCGCGAGACCACAACCCTGGTTATATTCGGACCATAGCCTTAGTTAAAAACTTTTGACAATTTCTCAAAACTAATGTATTTCACACTTTTGTCAAAAATGTCAAATGAAAAAGTAAGAAGGGGTGACATTTATAATAGATCACCCTGTACATGTGACGTAACGACAGTCTGCACAAAGCCAAAAATGTTGAGCGTAGAACCCGAAATTCGTATACAAAAACCTTGTACATTAATGGATAAAATTTCAACAATAAAATGTTTATAAAAAAATTCTCTAAAGCTTATAGTTATTTAAGTATTAAGGGCGGTAAGTGTCGTTTACCGCCCGAGATTGTTTGAAGACCGACGCGTAGCGGAGGTCTTCAATATTCGAGGGCGGTTAACGACACTTAACGCCCAAAATACTTATTACGTTTTATGCACGATCGGGCTATTCCAGTTCAAAAACTTAATTTATAGAATGGCATCCAATTGACATTTTCAAAAATAGAATTGTCTTCCTCCTATAAAGGCGCGTTCCCAATGAAAAATTGGCAACTTTTGTATTTGCAACGCTTCCAAAAATCACAACTCTTATTTCCATGGTTATCCACCACCGCACATTATCTATAACAATTATTATTATTATTATAGTTGGCTGGACTACTTGTTTCTAATGGTTGGTATGGTTGTTATGGTGCTTCTCAAATTGTTTATTTGTGTTAGTTACGCAAAACTCGCTTTCAAACAATACGGTTGCAAGCTGCAAATACGCTTTTTTGAAATTTAAGGAGAAATATGAGTGAAAATAGTGATAGTGAACTGGAAAATGCTTGGAATATTGGTTGTGACGCTGTGATTCCGGAAAAATCAAGGCAACGGTACGAAAAAACCTTTGAACTCTTTAAGAAGTGGTGCGTTGACAAAAACTGGGCTGTTTCGGAGAAAGTGCTTTTGGCATACTTTGTACACCGAAATCAGAAGTTAAAATCACCTGGAAGCTTATGGGCTGAGTATTCCATGCTGAAGGCGACACTTTTTCTGAAGGAAAATGTTGACATTTCGAAATACGCAACTTTAATTGCCTTTCTGAAAAGAAAAAACGTTGGCCATACACCGAAAAAATCTAAAGTTTTCATAAAGGAGGATTTATACAGGTTTCTAATGGAGGCACCAGATGATAGATACTTGATTTTGAAAGTGAGTTAATTTACCTGTGTTTTTTAACAATGCAAAGAATTAATTTGTTGTTTTTTCGTAGATAGGCATGATATTTGGTGTAGCTGGAGCATGCAGAAGGGAGGAATTATGTAATTTGACTTTACAAGACATAGATAATCAGGAAACGTTCATTTTTGTTAAAATACCCAATACAAAAACCAATATTCAAAGGAGTTTCACCATCACTGGTAAAGAAGACCAGCGAGTGGATTATTTGGAGATTTGTAGGAAATATATCGAACTACGACAAAAAACCGCAAAATCAAACAAGTTATTCTTAAAAATTCGAAACGGCTTTTGCACTAATCAAGTTGTAGGAAAGAATACCATAGGAAAATGGCCAGCACAAATTGCCACATTTTTAAATTTGCAAAATCCTTCTCAATACACTGGACATGCTTTTCGCAGAACTTCTGCGACGCTTCTTGCAAATAGCGGCGTAGAAGTATTAGCTCTCAAAAGACATGGAGGTTGGAAATCCTCGACGGTTGCCGAGGGTTATATCGAGGACTCCATAGAGAGCAAATTGAAATTCGCAGACCAAATTTTACACCAAACTCCTTCAACAAGTGGTAAGACTTCGATCCAAACAACATCCAGACAACTAAACGATGAACCTCATCCTGTTTCTCTGATAAATGATACAGAAAATACGGTTGTTCTTGATAAGCACATAAGAAAAGGAGGTGTTGTGATAGATAATTCACATAACTGTATATTTAATTTGTATGTTAACAAAAAATAATAATATTTAAATTCTATTAATATTAAACCTATGTACTATAGTTGTTGAGGTGCATA